GGGGGTCCGGGACAAAGGAGGGAAAGAAGGATGGAGGAGAGAGAGGGAGAGGGAGAGGGAGAGGGAGAGAGAAGAGAGGGAGAGAGAGACAGGGAGAGAGAGAGAGAGAGAGAGAGAGAGAGAGAGAGAGAGAGAAGAGAGAGAGAGACATTATTTCAGCATTCATCTAGAGATGGGTGCTTGGTTGTCTTACAGATTGACTATTGTAAACAAGGGACAATAAATTGGTAGTGTACCCATTTCTTTAAAATCCAGTAATTTTCATCTAATTGCAATACCAGTAGTGTGACTTCTAGATTCTCTGTCACTTCCCTATATATTTGTAAGCACGCCCTATGCTATTTGCTGTCATGGCTACACCAAGTCACGTTTCCATCAAAAATCAAGAAGGTTCCATCTTCTCCACATGCTCTGTAACATTCACCTCTCATATTTCTAATATTAATTATCTAACAGTTGTGGGCTACAATCTCATCTTGATCTTGATTTGCATCTCTATGCTATTAATGAAGTAGAATATTATTGTGCCTGTTTCACTGTCTTTATCTTTTCATTGAAAGATATCTATTCTGATTCTCAGCTCATTTCTGTATTAGTGTATATTCTTTAGGCTATTTAGCTTATTGTGTATATTGCCCCCCAAAAAAATATTGTTCATTAATCCCTGGCCTGATGTACTTGTTTTATTCATTTATGTGGTCCACCTTCTTATACAATTGCTTGTCTTTTTATATAAAACTTTTTTAGTTGAATACATGAAAAGTTATCTATTTTAATATTTTTTTATTTTTGTGACATCAGGATGTGTTTTTTACATGTGTTTGTATGTGCATGTGAATGTTTGTATGGAGTTGTATGTGAATGCATTGCTTGTATGTGTTCACAGGGTCTTGTGCATGAGTGTGCCAGTGTGGGAGGATTCTAAGTTGAGGTCTTTTGTCTTTCTCAATTACTCCCTACCTTACACATGTAGGTAGTCATTAGAGCTAGTTTTTGGCATTCTAGTTAGTCAAGCTATCTGTAGTGCTCTACTTGATTTTCTGGGTTTACAGATGGACTTCCATGCTCTATTGTCCTTTAAGATTCTGTACTGGGTTTAAAAAATTTTCTCATTTGAAATATTTGTATTACTCCCACAAGTTATGTGCCACTATTGCCCTAGCATATTTTGAAGGCAGCACAGATCATAGTTCAATGGTTTTGTGTAGATTGGTGTCTATGCTTCTCTTTTGATAGCCTACAGAGTATCTTCCTGCATCAAAGGCACTAGAACATAGAGTTGAATGCTCCATGAAGCCAGCAGCTCAACTACTCCATGTTCAGTGAGTTGTATAAGTGTGGTCTCCAGCAATGGGATCCATCTCTCAGTTTTCAAAGAACAATCCATTGTCTTAGTAACAGCATAGGTCATTGGAGACATTTCCATGGGATTCCTTTGGCCAACAATTCAACTGGTTATAATCCAGTCCCACTGGTGGAAGCCCCATTTGATGACAAGAGATGTCCAGTTGAGTCTCTGTAGCCCCATTATTAGGAAACCTCATTAGGATCACCTTCATATATTTTAGAAAGTTTCCACTGTCTTAGGTTTCCCTATCATCCCTCAAATACCCATCAATTACAGCTGTCTCTCCTGGCAATCTCTCCTACACTCCCTACCTGATACTGTCCTACCTGTCTCCACACATCCCTAGTCCATCCATAAAATCTATTCTATCCTCCTCCTTGGGAGATCCATGAATCCCCCATTGACACTTCTGTACCTGAATCTATGGATTGTAGCTTGGTTATCATTTACTTAACAGACAATCTCCACTTACAGGGAAATACATACCATAGTTATCTTTCTCCAATATCCACTTACAGGGGAATACATGCTATAGTTACCCTTCAGGGTCTGGGTTAACTCATGGGTGTCTGATTTGACTAAAGGCTCACTCCATGAAACAGGACTCATACCCAATATGGCTTGGATGACCAAGAAATAAGAAATACAGCAGAAGCAGACACATACAGCTAAACACTGAATTGAACTCCTGGAATCCAGTTGCAGAGAAGGAGGAGTGATGAGCAAAGAAAAAAAAAAAAAAAGCCCAGACAAAGCCTTATGAGACACAGAAAACTCCAAAAATACTATTGAGTTCATTTTTTGATTGATATGTAAAACAAGCTTGTTCTAATTTAAATTTTAAAATCTGGAAAAAAGAAAGCTGGCTGAGGAAGCCAGTAAGCAGTACCCTTCCACGGCTTCTGCATCAGCTCCTGTCCCTGCCTTGTTTGAGTTCATGTCCTGAAATGTAAGCCAAATAAACCCTTTCCTCCCCTACCAAAAAAAGAGAAAGAAATGAGAAATAGTCCAGAGAACTAGGGCAAAACCAAATACTACTGATATATATGATCATTAATTCTATCTTGTTAATATTGATTAATCATATTAATTAATTAATAATTACTAATATGGTATAATATTTATATATAATGATTCCTATTGACATTATGCTGCACTCATGTCTTAGTCAGTGTTGCTGTTGTTGTGAAGAGACACCATGACCATAGCAACTCTTAAAAGGAAAACAGTACTTGGGATGATTGCTTACAGATTCAGAGGTTGGGTTCGTTGTCATCATTGTGGGAAGTATGGCAGCATGCAAGCAGACATGGTGCTGGCTACATCTTGATCAGAAGGCACCTGGAAGTCAACTAAGAAACTGGGCATGGCTTGGGCATATATCAGACCTCAAAGCCCACCCCCACAGTGACATACCTCCTCCAATAAAGCCATATCTACTGCAACAAAGCCACACCTCCTACCTATTGGAGCCACACCCTGTGAGCTTACAAGGGCCAGTTACATTCAAACTACCACAACTCATAAATGAGTGCCTTGTGCAGTCACCATCAAACAGACTTCCTCTGGCAGCAGATAGAACAAATGGAGAGACCCACAGCCAGACACTACATGAAGACAGTGTGTAAATGGAATGTCTCCAAAAAATCCCTCCCCTGAGAGCTCAGGGGACCCTGGGAAAGAGGAAGCAGAAAGAGTGTAAGCACCAGAAACGGTGGAGGACACCAGGAGAACATGTCGCTCTGAACCAGCTAGCAAGGTACATATAAACTGACAAGGACAGATACGCCTACACATGTCTGCACTAGGTCCTCTGTGGATACATGATAGCTTTTTGCTTAGTATTTTACGGGACTCCTGGGTGTGAAAATCAGTCAGTCACTAATTCTTTTGCCTGCCCTAGTGGTTCTTTTCCCTGTTGGTCTGCCATGTCCAAAATGAATATGACGGTTGTTGCTTTATCCTATTATATGTAATTTTGTTGTGTTTCGTTGTTATCTAATGACAGACAGAAATGTAATGGATACGGAGCAGTGGGAGATAAGGAAGAATTGAGAGGAGGAGAAGGAGTGATAACTACAATCCTGCTATATTGTATAAGAAAAGAATCTATTTTCAATAAAAGGGAAAAATAATGAAAATATTTGTATTAATTGAAAATCACAGACAATGAATTTTGAAAATATTCTCTCCCTCAACTCCTAATCTTCCCACTGATCTTCCCACTCAGCTTTGAGATTTCTACTTTTCTTCTAATTCCCCCACCATGGAGTCCAGTTTGTGTTGCCAAACTTGTCTTGGATTGAGGTCTGCTTTGGTGTGTTGTCAGCCTACCAGAGGTCACATCATTAACAAAATCTGATCTTCTAACTGCTATGTTAGCAAATGCTAAACGTTCCTCAGCTAGCAATGGCTGACCACCTTTCTCCATCCATGCTAGGATGTTTTTTCTGGTTGGATCTTTCTCAGGTCTTATCCATGTGTCACAATCATTATGGGCTCTATCTGCCCTGTTGTGTCTGGAAAATACTTCCCTTGAAGTCATTCACCACCTCTGACTCTTCCTGTCTTCCTGTCCCCTCTTCTACAGAGTGTGATTGTGATATGATTTTCTAATTTATAATTGACAACTCCATTTTCTTTTATCTGCACATTATGCAACTGGGAGTCATGTCTCTTTGTTAACTGACATTTAAGGCAAAAAAAAAAAA